GGGGTCTGTGGTGGGAGGGGGTGTAGCGGGGGGGTTGTATCTATGGAATTTTTTTGTGGCGTGTGCTTGTTGTCTTCGGTGTTAATTGCTCTACGCAGAGGAAGCGTTTTGTGCCTGTTACATGTTGTACGGCCAAATCAGTGTGGTATTGAGTTGTTTTTTGGTGGTGTCTTGTACGCAAGACGGAGGAGAAACTGGTGGTACAATAGCACTGGCCGTGTATCCCTCCTTGTTAGGTTAATCCGTAGATGGGCAGCAGCAGCAGCACACGGCGCGAGCGGCAGGCGAAGTAAAGAGATGGTCTAGTTAATGCTCCGTGGCGTCATTCTTCGGGTGACAGCATTTTTTGTTTTGTTTGTTTTTCATGTGCTGAAGACGTCCATGTGCAGGTCTCGTTTGCATTGGCAGCCAAGTAGGCAGTTTCGTGTATGGCACCGGGGGTGGGTGTGTAAGGGGCCAACTTGTTACCATCAGGGACAGACAGTGTGCAACCGGGCGGGATGGATGTAGCGAAACATGGGACGGATATGGCGAAATACGGGACGGGATGAGACGCCAGGTAAACGACGATTGGTTTTGTGGGGCTGGTGTGTAGCGAAAGGAGGGCAACACAAGCCACGTGCGTGCTGCTACAGCAGTCGATGAACGTAATAGATAGATAAGTGGTTTCGTCCTTGAAATCGGATTATAATTTTGGATTCGGTTCCCAAGCAACGCAGAGCAATGCATTACGTACATGCGCCGCGGCGGCCATGACCTCGTGCCGCAAATCGAGCAGCGGAGGACTTGCTTCCCCTGCCGACTTCCCGTGCCTCCTCCCCCAGCACATGACCTCGAGAACCCTCCAGTACAAACTCTCACCGCCTCCTATAGTTCCATCCCGGTCAACTGCCGCCAAAGTCAATCGCTCGTAGAAACCAAGCGGAGTGTAAAGTACCAAATATGATAGATGCAGATACTGTGTAGCTTAGCAACCGTTCAAAAACTTGGTAACTGGGAAACGAGGGCCACAGTGTCGCGCTTCTCAGAAAACAAGTACTGTAACTGGGTTGTCCGGGACTAGCAGCGAATGAAGGTGTTATGGAAGTTTGTCCTGTACTATAATAGTCAATGTTCAGTAGCATTGCTCTCTATCGTAGATCATACATTGTAGATACTGTTATGTTTCGGTTCATACGTAACGCATCTGTATGCGGAATTACTGCTGTAGCATTCTCTACTCGAGGGATCGCGTGTCTCTCTCACTCTCGCATGAATGAATCTCTCGCGTGAATCTCTCGCATGGACTTCTCTAGAAATTATTGAATCTTAGCTTTCCTGGTCATCTCTAGGAACTGCCGTCATCTGGACTTCTGCGTTCTCTGTGGATCTATCTGCGTGTGTTGGCCAACTAAGCGCCAGGGTTCAACGCATCTTCACGTCTATTGTCTACATGTTTTTTTTTTTTGTCTCCCATCATGATTGGACTCGTCGTCTGCCCCTCTGGCCCCTCCCTCCACTTCTACTAGCTAGACGACCCAACCAGGGTCACATAGGAGGGGGGGGTTGGACCCCCTCCTGCGGTTCCTGCCTTGAGTTATTTTTATCGCGAGAAGGGTACAGCAATCCCTTTCCTCACGACTTAAGAAGTCGATTGTGGTTTTACTAACAACGAGCTTTGCAGCGCGTCGCTTTCATCCTAGACCAGGATTTATTAAGTGAGAAAAAACTCGCTCTGCCGGGACTCGAAACCATGACCTGGCCCTTATTAGCAGGCTGCGGGGGTACCCACTAGACCACCGGGGCGAACGGTGGTCTAGTGGGTACCCTCGCAGCCTTCTACATTGTACACAGCACAAGAGGTACTCCTACTTCTGCTCTTCAACCGCTCGCGGTGCCAACCATCTCGAGTAACATCGAGAGGCACAGAATTGCCCACTTGTCAAGGGTATCTCAGACGATATCCACAACAGAAGGACACCTTAAGCCCGCGCAAGAATTGAGAGCCTTGGGGGGCCAGCCAAGACAAGGGGCACTCTGAGGTATCACATCACGCGATGTCATTCCATTTCGTGCAGCCACCAACAAGGGGTCTTCATCATGCAGAACGAAAAAAAACTCTGATGCAGTAGTCTACCGTAGACGTCATTTTCCTCTCTTCTCGTACACACATCGAAACAAACAGTAAGAACTACACCCTCGATTGCAACGGCTTGCAAGAAGGGGAGTTAGTCCCGAAGAGGAAGTATTGTTGCAATTTGTTCATAGTGTTCTCTCCGGGTGCCGTGATTTACGAACTCTGTTCTTTACTGCCGCCAGGTACATATTCAAAGCACCCCTCACAGACAGTAGAAGGCCAGTCTTGGATAAACGGTGGTCCTAAAGAGATTTGAGCCATCTGGGTGAAAACGGCAGTGCAGCAGTGCCTTGGTTGTTGGACCTAGCCTTCTTTGCTCTTTTTCTCTCTCCCTTTGCCCCCCCCCCCCCCCCCCCCC